GGAAAACACAGGAAACTACAGACAAAATAACTTATGAGGCATGGAAACACATAAATCATTCTTCCAAGAGAAAGTATCCTGCCAACCAATCTTCTCCATCTCATGTATTTATTGTTTCCCATTTGCAGTCTAATACTGACTTATTTTTCAATATTTTGCTGGTAATGTCTGATCGGTGACTTACACTGAACAGGCTGATATTTATCTTCCATTCCCAAGTTCGGGGTTTTAAATAAGCACCTCTCCAGGAAAACTGACAGCAAACCCCTAATGAAAGGAACGGGAACTGATCCCAGAGACAAATGGGGTGATTTCCCTCTGCCACCCCTCCCAAAGGACATAAAGTCTCTCACTCCAGCAGGACTCATTCTTCAAACAACAAGCACACCCTCAGGGAGAATTACAGCTCACTCCTCTCCCCTCCAACCTGCTCCTCCACATCCACCCCTGAGGGTGAATCACAGAATGGCCTGGGTTGGAAGGGATCTTAAAGCCCATCCAGTGCCATCCCCTGCCATGGCAGGGACACCTTCCATGATCCCAGGCTGCTCCAACCCCGTCCAACTTGGTCTTGGACACTCCCAGGGATCCAGGGGCAGTCACAGCTTCTCTGGGCAACCTGTGCCAGGGCCTGCACCCCTCACAGCCGAGGATTCCTTCCCAGTAGCCCGTCTAACCCTGCCCTCTGTCGGTTTGAAGCCCTTCCCCCTTGTCCTGGCACTCCAGGCCCTTGTCAATAGTCTCTCCATCTTTTCTTGTAGTCTCCCTCCAGGTCCTGGAAGGCCACAGTCAGGTCACCCCAAAGCTTCTCTTCTCCAGGCTGCACAATCCCAACTCTCTCCCCTTTCCTCCCAGCAGAGCTGCTCCATCCTCTGATCCTCTTGGTGCCTCCTCTGGACTCTGCAGCAGCTCCAGGTCCCTCCTGTGCTGTTCCCAGGGCTGGAGCAGCTCTGCTGGGGGGTCTCAGCTGAGGGGCAGAGGGGCAGAACCCCCCTGCCCACGCTGGGGATCAGCCCAGGGCAGGGGGGTGGCAGCACACACAGCAGACAAAAACAGCCCCAAGCCCAAAAACCCAATAATGCTTTTGACATTACTAAACTTATGGAACACACCAGAAACTTCACTGCATATTTAAATCTTTTTAATACAAGAAGTATTAGGACCTTCTCATCTGTCATTAAGACAGTGGAAATTTTCTTTTTCCCATTTCAAGAGTGTATCTCCCAGAATACATTTCAATGGATTTTTGTTAGAATTAAAAAAAATGAAGCAGAAGAATGTTTGGCAAGCTGGTAAGAAAACCAATACCCAAAATGCTTTCTCAGCAAAGGCTCAAGATCAGACCACAGCAGCTCTTACTGCGGGCTCTGGGCTGGGGAGTGTTGTTTGCATGCTAAAAAAAAAGGAATACAATTCCCAAGCTTATATTGCATCCAATTTAAAATGGGTTAATAACTCTGGGTCAGAACCTGCAATAGCTAAATTGCAAAATCCACTCAGTCAAAATGCTCTTCCTGAGAAGCCATGGTATTGAATTCCTCCCCAAACCCATCGGAAATGGGAGTCAGGGAGCAGAGGGAGTTCTGCATCTCCTCGGAAAAGAAGATGCTTTTTAAAACATCTGACATTAAAATTTACATCTTATAGTAAAGATCAGAGAACTTGTAAAATATTTCTGATTCACCTCTTATTTCATTCAGAGACCAAACAGGTCTGCAGGTGAGTACAGCGCACTTTCTGCAGCTATTTGCAGCATTATCTTCCTAAGAATGGGTGTGACTGAAAATGTGAACTTTTATCATCACAGGGAGCCCACCTGATCCTATTGGAGCATCCCTGAAAGTGATTCCAGTCCAGGTTGAAACTCAAGCACCCAATTTCAGCAGTGCTGGATTGGTTACAGCCTGAGTAAGAACAGTTTAGTAACTTCTAGTTCAAGTCATACCAAGATCAAGCCAATGCATTTGTAAGAGATTTTGCATTTTGTGGCACATTTCAGACTGGACATTTTAAGACCTATAAATATTTGATTTCTGCACTGCAATTTGCAAGCTGAAAACTTTCTCTTAAACATTACCCAGAAGAACACTCAACTGCTAGAAACCTGCCTGGCCTTATGCCAGTAAGTTCAAATTGCTTCTGTGAGTTCATATAAACACAAGATTAAGTCAGCATTAAACATGAAATATACGCTGCTATGTTGTTTTACAGAGTGGAGGGTGAAGTTCTCAACACCAAATACAAACACTGGGACAGATTTCCAGATTGCTGTCTCATCTGGAACCCTCACTGGCCAGGAGGCTCAATGCCCTGCTTGTGCAGGAAATACATTCTCTTCCTAAAGACTTGTTTTGGACATTTTTACACAGATTTAATACAAGCCTCTCGACCAACAGGTGAACCCAGTGAGGTGTTCCACAGGTAACTCCAGCATGTTGGCTCCTCTGGAGATGTGCCATTAAACTCCCCAACACCGAGCAGTAGCAGCAGCATTTAACAACACAAAACACTGTTCCCCCTTGGAGTTCCAGTTCCAGTTCACTCTGCAGCACCAGGAAATTGTGTTTTCTCTTCCCCAGTCCCTCCCATTTTGGGCTCCCAGCCGAGGGGTGACAAGTGAGGACAATGTGCCCAGGCATCGTTCCCAGGGCTCTGGCACCACACACCGCTGAGGAATGCAGGGCTGCAAATCAGCCAGGGAAAAGGCTGGAAGTATTGAACAGGCACACAAAACCTTGACCTTCCTGGGGCACTCCATCACAGAACTGCACACAAACCCAGTGAAAGGGTGCTGAAGGACACATCCCACACGGACACAACTTATCCCAACCCAGGAACACAGACCCCTGCTGCCTCTCCATTTGCAGGGTAAAAACATCTAAAAAGGAAGAGCTTTCAAGTTCAAGGAAATTTTTTTAATGCAAAGTTTAGGATAAATTGTTAGGGGGAAAAAAAAAATCTCTGTGTGCTTTACCACAGCAATAAAAATAGTAAAATGCAAAGAAATCCTTCAAGCTAACATTAATAATTCAACAGCTCTGCAGGTTGTCTTCAGCCATCTGCAGCCCAAACGGAGGGTTCCTGGTGTGCCAGCCTGCTCTAGATTCCTAGATCAACTCCTCCCCAGGGTTTGTTTTCCTTCTCTAACCTCTGTGCTCAGCACTAACACCCTGAATTCTCGTCAGAGGTTTATTATGTCCTACATGTTGGTTTGCCCAGCGAACGCGGCTCCTGCCCCCGGTTCCCGTGCCAGCAGTGCCACAGCTCCTCACAAAGCACACCTCAATGCTGCCTGCACTGTTACCTTTATAAGCACTTCTTAAGCTCGTGGCTGAATTACCACTGTCACTCACTGCCCCAGATATCCACAGACACTCCCCATTTACCTGCTCTGGGAACACTGAGCATCTCCTCAGTCTGACAGGGAGTGACATCCAGGGACACGCTGTGGCCCGGCGACCTCAGCTCCAAAGGTGCCCTCAGAGATGAAAGGGGATCGTGTGTGACCCACTGCCCTTAAGATTAAAAACTACAGACTCGAGCAGGTTGATCCACTGTCACAGCAAAGCAGCCACTGCCTTCAAACCACCCTCACTCAGATGCAGAGAACCAAATCGGTGTTTCCTTGTCCCTGCCAATCATTTCCTAAAAATAATGAAAAATAATAGAAAGCAAATCTTTTACTTCTATGATCTTTCTTTATACAACATGCAAAAGAATCAGCAGGCATTTTCTAGACGTTATTCTCCATTTGATCTGTGACAACAGGTCTCCTCCTCACCTCAGCCCAGCTCTGCTTTGCATTCGTACCGGCTTCTCCCCATCGCTCCACCGCATTCCCACTCCTGTCTAGCACTGCCTTGAAAAGGTGTCGGTCTTCCCAGGCACTGACTGACTTCAGCTTCAGATCTTCCTTGCAAGCTATTCTTTCAAATCGTTCCTAGACAGCACTCTCAGATCTTTAGGGAGTCAATAACACCGGATAACACGCTGCGTTTGATCAGGAGCCGCTGCCTCGCTCCGGTGCAATCCCTGAGCCACAGCCAACTACTTCACAGTCAGAGAACTTCTGAAAAGAGGAATTTTCCTAAGATTACAGGAGCGAGTAGGAGAAAATGATCAAGTCCATGAATCCAAGTGAAGTGTCAGGAACACAAAGAAGGAGATGTTGGTTGTGTTTGAGAGGCACACGGTACAGCACACTGGCCCCCTGCTCCCCAAGGCTCAGCCACACCATCCCTCCAGAGGCTTTAAACTCCGTCCTGCTGCTGTGCCATGGGAAAAGGGACAGGTCCCTGAGGGAACAAACCATGCTGCAGCCTGTGCTCCTGCTGGAGGCTTCCTCAGGCTACAGGGAGGCCAAGCAGAGGGAGAGCCAGGAACACAGGGCTCATCCAGACATGGAGAGGGGTGGCCTGACCCAACCCATGGCTGTTCCCACAGAAATTACACTGATTACAGCTCCACTCCCATCCCCTACCCAACAAGAGCTGCTCTGGCTGTAGGTCACCCTGCCACAACACAGCAAGGATAAATCAATAAACACCAATCCAGAAATAAAAATACTAGTGAGGCTGTCACTGGTAGAACCACTGGGACAATAAGATAAAAAGGAATTCTGCAGACCCTGGGCCCATCTGTCACCTATTGTACCCATCCCATATCATGGCTTTGCACTAAAGAACGTCATTAACACAAACCTGGGTTTAAGTAGTGAATTAGACAGTTCATTGAAAGAGGCATCTGCAGTACGTCCTTTAGAGATCAGAGGAACAAGACACACGTCATGGGTTTATCAAATTTACTGGCAGTGCCAGTTGAAGCTACGAGTCACAGAAGGATCAATAACCCCCCTCAGTCGCCCGTGGCCTCGCTATGCCAACAGTCACCTCTGGAAGCAGCCAAGGATGAAGATCAGCACAGCAGAGAGCCAATTAAAACAACACCTCGGAGAGGCAAACACAGCCAAAGCCCCTAAACTTCCCAGAAAGCCAACACGACCCACAGAGCCAGAACTGAAACTCCGAGGAAGCTGCTGCCCTCAGACCTGTCTGTCTGCACACAGGCAGAGGAGAAGCAGCAGAACCAGAGAAGCACTAACGAAGCATTTCTGAGACATCCCCACGACCTCCGGCTACTGAAGCACACCCAGTGCCAGGCCAAGCAGGGCTGGTTGGCAGCAGAGATGTTTCCCAGTTGTCACCATCACCGAATTCCAGTGACTCCTCATGGAGTGACACATTTTTAACTGAAGTATGCAATCTGCAACATATCTGTGTATATCTTTCAAGGTTTTTTTTTTCCTCTGCCTGCTATTCATAGACCTTTCAAATTTCCCCACACATGCTGGAGGGCAGGGGGTAACTACCCACCACAAGATAGATGCTGATTTTCAGTAGCAATAATTGCCTGACTCCTCTGCAAATCCCAACTGCTCAGCAGCACCAGCCCCCAAGACTGCCCCAGCCCGAGAGACAAAAAAAGCAGCAGGTTATATATAGGTAAATTCCTCTCACTGCATTTTCAAATGGAGAGACACAGATATAGCTATTTTCTGACATTCCATTTGCTAATGGTGTTCATTTTACAGATCTCAGCTGAAGGGAGAATATTCATAGGATGAGAAAGAGAATGGCCGAGTTGAAGATTTCAGTGTTTCCTGCTAAATAAGGTAAATAAAGGTCAGACCTTTCTCTTTCAAAGTCTGTGCCCAGTTGTGCTCTCAGAGCTGTTAATCAGAGTCCCCTCTGCTCGGACATAAAACATTTGTGGACACAGAGCAGCCTCCCCTCCCATCCAGCCAATACCCAACACCTCAGTTCAGACTGTTCCAGGGGAGGGAAGGCACAGATCCTGGAGTGAGCTGACCCTGCTCACCCTGAGCCTTCGAGGAGAGGCTGGGGTTTGGTTTGGTTTGGTTTGACAGTCATTTGTAAGGCAGCAGGGGCCACTGCTCCCACACAATTCCCACGCCTCACAGGGCTGCAATCACCACTGGTAGGAACTACTGAACCAGGATGGGCTTCAGCCACTGACCAAGGAGAGAGATTCCCCCCCATCACCAGCTCTCAGGAGCGGCTGAGGGAGCTGGAGGGGCTCAGCCTGGAGAAAAGGAGGCTCAGGGGGGACCTTCTGGCTCTGCAACTCGCTGACAGGAGGGGGAGCCGGGGGGTGTCAGGCTCTGCTCCCAGGGAACAGGGACAGGAGGAGAGAAAATGGCCTCAAATTGTGCCAGAGGAGGTTTAGATTGGATATTAGCAAAAAAAGTTTCACAGAAAGAGTTGTAAAGCACTGGCAGAGGCTGCCCAGGGCAGGAGTGGAGTCACCATCCCTGAAAGTGTTCAAAAAACATATGGATGTGGCACTTGAGAACATGGTTTAGTGGTGAACACAGTGGTGGTGCTGACTGATGGTTGGACTTGATGAGCCTTAAGGTCTTTTCCAGCCTTAATGATTCCACGATTCTGTGATTTCAGCTCCCAAGAAAGACTAAACCAGCCTTAGAAGAGAGGGGGAAATGAGCCTCCAGCACTCCAGGATCAACCAGCAGCCCAGACACGGCTGTTCAGTGCCTGAGAAGCTTCTGTGCGTTGAAACAACGACCTCAGGCTGAAATGATGTGCACAAACCTACACCACTACCACCCTCCAGTAATTCCCTTCAACACATGGAACATCAGAACCACAGAATCCCAGACTGGTTTGGCTTGGAAGGGATCTTAAAGCCCATCCCATTCCACCCTCTGCCATGGGCAGGGACACTTTCCACTAGCCCAGGTTGCTCCAAGCCCCATCCAACCTGGCCTTGGACACTCCCATGGATCTACTGTGCAGGCAGGTAAACTCTGCTTGTCTGAATTAAGCACATTTGTATGCAGTCCTGCTTTAATCTGCATGTCCAGAGAAACCTAATCGTGTATTCCTCTCCTCATAAAAACAGGATTTAATTCTCACTCAGCAAGTTATGAGGCAGCAGGAAAAAAAATGTTGAAGTAAAACTATTACAATCAGCTTTGTTGCTCTCTGCTTATCTTAGAAATCAATATAAATACAGTAATTCCTAATTTAAATATTCAGAATTTAATAGCAACTTGTCAGTAAAACCTGGTGTACTTGGGAGTCTTTTCATTTAAATCAAGTTACATGCTTTGGTTGCTACAGAGGCTGAGATTTAATTCAATACACAAAGCACAACTCCAACCCTCTTGTGTTAAAAATATTCTTTAAATAAATAATAGATCAAAGCAGTGTCACTTTGATGGCATATGCAGTCCACGGAAGGGGGAGAGCAAGGATTAAATGTTTTCAGAGCAGCCCTCGTGGAGAAGGGGCGGGGGACAGCAGTGAATGCTCACTTATTTTCTCCAGATTTACCACTCGTTATTCTGCTGATTCGATTCTCCCACTTATCAGAGTTCTGCCTTCTAAAGAACCTTCAACTTCATAAAAACTCCGGGGTTTTTAGAGTAACAAAGCAGGATGAAAAGAAGATTCATTCCATTCCCAGATCTTAGTGAATCATCTCCTATAACTAGAGCAGAGCTCGGATCACTCCCCAGGACTCCTCGATGAATAAGGCAGAAATCTGCCCCTGCTCGTGGATTTCATGATTCACAGGGGAAATGACAGATTCACCTGCAACTTGGGCAAGCAGAGGCTTGGTTTGGGTGACCTTCGAGAATGTCTTCATTTAGAGACAGGCTGGTGTGTTTAACGACAGGTGATGGTTCCCAGCCTAAGCTGTGACAGGTTCATTTATCAAGTTCCAAACGGAACGTTCTCCACACTCAGCTCACAGCCAGAGGTGCATCCTCCTTCAACAGCATCCTGCAGACACGAGCACACCTCAGGTTCATCAGCCCTGGCTTGTGGAAAAGGGGGCCAAGAGACAAAGGAGCAGGGGAATGGGACAGACCCTCAGCCACACTGGGACTGGAGGGAAGGGGCTCCACGTTGGATGAGCAGCTGCAGACAAACAGCAGGGGCTCTGAACACCAACGTGGCTGCACAGCCTTCCCATCACCGGGGATCAGTGCCCAGAAGCAAGAAAAGAGCAAGACAGGAAACTCTGTGAGGACAGCCAGAACAAGGACTCATTAATTTACGATGCCAGAGAGCGTAATGAAGCAGCTCGGTGAGAGGGAGAAGCAGAAGAGGGAGATGAACAGCAGGGCAGTTCCCACACTGACAGCACAGGCTGCCACGTTACTTTGTGTCTGCCTTCACACATCCTTCCCAACTGCTTCCCATAAAACTGCCACCAACCACAGGTCCTGGGGTTTCATCCAGGTGCCCCGTTCCCTGGACAAACCTGTCACGCTCCCACTGCCATTTCCAGCTGGGCTGTGGGAAAGCAGCAGCATGAGCGAGCTGCCTTCCACCTCCTGCTCATGGACCACAGGATTATATTTTATTATTTTTATTATTATGAGCTATTTTGCAGGATTAACCAAACTCGAGTTGGCTGGGGGGAAATATTTAACAAACATCCCCATGCTGCACTCCAAACCCTCATCCTCAGAGCCCTTCCTTCCCAGAGGAGGCTCTGTCTTTGTTATCTCACGTCAAATGCTCAGCAGACAGCCAATGACAGCTAAGGAGGGGAACAAATGACATGAAAAATAACTCCTAAGATTTAAAAGTAATGAGGTAGAGAATTCTCAAATCAGTTGTTTCTCCTCTCTCACATCTTTATGTGCTTTCTCAATCTTCCTGTGCACCTCTTCTTGAACAAAAAGTAAAGATACACAATGGCAAGTTTGTCCAAAGGACCCCTGATCCAGCTGCCCAGACACAAACGACACCTGAGCAGCACCACTGACCCCAGGGTAAAGTTATTTGGCTCAAGCTGACAGTGAAAACACAAGGACTAAAGCGAAAGTTCTGAATTTGCTTTTATTTTTTTCTTTTACAGGAATCAGACTCAGCATCTGGAGCAATCCAGGGCCTGACCTCTGCGAGTTGTTCCCTGTAGCAGCGATGTCGTGACAAGGACAACGTTCACAGCACAGGAGAGTCTGGGAGGAGGAAACTGCAGCTCCACGGGAGTCGGGAAGCAGGAGCTGGGCTGTGGTGATCACTAACCACTGCTCCCTTCATCAAAACCACTCCCTCTGGCCATAACGAGCACATGAAACGTTTAACACCAACCACGGAGAAGCTGCTCCTCACCCCCTGCCCTTGTGCTGCTGCTGCACAACCTGCTGATCACCCTGACCCAGTCAAAGTCAGTCCCAAATTAGAAAGAGACAACTTTGCAGATCAGGAAAGAAGTGAACAGGAAGCTTCCCAGGAAGGCAGAGGGATCACTAAAATAGACAAGCAAGCTCATCACACCTCCACAGTCTACTAGAGAAAGTCTCTTCTTTGCCAAAACCCTCTAGAGCAGAAAGAGCACAAACGTGGTGTCTGTGCCTCCCTTAAATCACACCCAAAACGCGCAGCTCAACCCGGGAATGATCTGCCAAGTCACATTTTCAGTACATGATTCTCCTCAGGGAAATGACACTGGCTCAGCCAGAGCCCTCCCAGAACTTCTGAGAACTATAACCACCCCTCTGGGAACTGAGACAGGGACAGCACCCCTGTGCCTCATCATAACGCCTCTGGAAACAAACTACAGCATGGAATTCCAACAAGTTATTCCACAGCACTACAGGAGGAGTCATAAACATAACAGAACCTTGGTCACCACAAAAATTCACAAATATCTGTAAACACAAAACAACCTTGGGATCCAGGGAATCCTGCAACCCCAAGCGGATTCCAAGAACTGAATGACTGGAGATGATTATCCCAGACATTTCTTACGTGTTTGGTTTGGTTTTTACTTAAACATTGAAGTTGGGACAGACACAACAGAGAATTCCAGACCCAGTTGGGATCTTTCTTTGCCTCTCTTGGCTTTGCCAGTTTAACACACAGCATGTTTCCAAACACAGGGAAGCTCCCCATGTAATACAACAAGAGCTTCATCTCACAACGATTTCCTGCCCCCAAATTCCCACAATCCCAGTTTCCACACACACAAACACACCTTCCTTTTACACTCCACACACCATGCTGGTGGCAAGCTCCAAACCCGCAAAGCTCCCGTGCAACTTCACCTCCGGAGAGCTGTAACATCCCCAGCCTCCTGCACCTGGAGCCTCCCCGTGCACCTGCAGAGCTCCTGCAGACCTCGTGAATTGTACTGACTTTCCCAAGAAGCACCAAGTGCCCAAATTTCCTTGAAAGAGCTTAAGCGATGGAGCTGCTCTAAGAAGGCAAGCACCACGAGCATCAGTTCAGTTCTTCCGACTCTTCCGCATGTTTGCTTCCCCTAATTCCACACGGCTGGGACACAAACTATCGCATCAACACCCAGTGCTTCATCTGACAACGGACCCCTGCTGCAGCCCAGCGGCCCTCTGAGCTCTTACCGCTCCTTTCCAGCCCTCTCCCCACTCCTCCTCCTCCAAACCCCGCCGTGCCCGGGAGCATTACCCGGTCCTTCATCCTCCAGCTCTGGGCCAAAGACTTGGAGCCTTCGATCTTCTCGCAGTGCCTCTTCTTCATGAAGGCCAGGGGCAGGTTCCAGTCCGTCAGGTCGGACTCATCCTCCTCGCCGAGCCCCAGCAGAGGCGACTGCAGCATCTCGGACTCCATCGGCGCGGCGGCTGCGGGCGGCCCGTGCGCGGCGATGTCCAGCCCGGCACCCAGCGGGGCCGGGGGTCCCTCCGCCGGGAGGGGGGCGACGGGCCGAGGGCGGCGGAAGGCGGCGCTCCGCAGGCAAGGGCGGGCCCGGGGGTCGCAGCGCCGTCACCCGGCGCGGGTGGCGGCCCCGGGCGGGCTCGGCGGCGGCGCGGCTCGGGCAGCACCGAGGGGCCGGCACCGGGCGCGGGGCCTCCTCGCGCCTCTACCCCCGCGGGCCCCGCGCTCCCTGCGGCGGGCGGCGCGGCCGGCGCATGGCGGCCCCTGGCAGAGCGGCGGGCCGAGAGCGGCTCGGCGGTGGCGGTGGCGGTGGCGGTGGCGGCGGCGGTGGCGGGACCCGCGCCCCGGGCCCGGCGAGCGCGGCTCGGCTCAGCACCGCGCCACGGGGGCGGCCATCTTGCCCGGCCCACAATGCCCCGCGCTACGGGCCGCCGCGAGGGACACGCCGGGCCGCGGGGCCGCCGCGTTGCCATGGGGACCGCGCGTTGCCATGGGGACCGCGCGGGACCGCAGAATCCCGGGATCGCCGAGCCTGGAAAAGACCTCGGGATCAGGGAGTCCGACCGACGCCCCGGTCCCCACGCTGTCACCAAGCCCAGGGCACTGAGTGCGCACCTCCAGGGGTGGGGACTCCACCACCTCCCTGGGCAGCCCCTTCCAATTCCCGATAACCATTTCCATGAAGAAATTCCTCCTGATGTCCAACCTGAGCCTCCCCTGGCATAGCTGGAGGCCGTGCCCTCTCCTCCTGTCCCTGTTCCCTGGGAGCAGAGCCCGACCCTCCCAGCTCCCCCCTCCTGTCAGGGATTGCAGAGCCAGAAGGTCCCCCCTGAGCCTCCTTTTCTCCAGGCTGAGCCCCCCCAGCTCCCTCAGCTGCTCCTGCTGCTCCAGCCCCTTCCCAGCTCCCTTCCCTTCCCTGCCCACGTTTCAGCCCCCCAATGTCCTTCTTGTCACGAGGGGCCCAGAACTGAACACAGCATTCGAGGGCCACAGGAGTGCCAGCACAGGGGACAGTCCCTGCCCTGGGCCTGTGGCCACACCATGGCTGGGACAGCCCAGGTGCCTTCTTACCCACCTGGGCTCAACACTGACCCCTGGGGTCAAGTTCCTTGATACCTTCAGGATGTCAAAAAATGAATACACGAAAAAAATCAACACAACTTGGGTTTGCATCCCTCGGGGCAGCACAGGACTGACAGCCCCTCACACCCATCCACCCAGAACAACTGCCCTATAGGTCTATTTTTGGACCTCACTTCACTTTGGGTTGTGTGGTCATTTATACTGGGACAGAAAAGCAGGATGGTGGTGAAACTGGGCAACAGTCCCCAGCAGAGCTCTGTCTGATTCACATGCACTCCAGAGAGGAGCAAAGGCAGGTGCAGTATTCCAGGGATAGATCCTCCTTGCTATGAGACTGCAGGTTAATGAATATCAAATATTGCTGCTAATGAAGTTCCTCAGTGTTTGCTCCTGGCAGTAACC